TTGTTGGCAAAGGACCACAAGGAGTAAACAAACCTATGTTGTCTATAGCTGATTGACTTAAACCAAAAAGATGCTTCAAATTTGTAACTTAGTCATTACTAGGTCAACAACTTGATCAACTTGGTTGAATTGAAGTTGTTTAGTAACAATATTTGGTCTTTGATCTTAGAGTCTTAGACTATTGTTTTACACATTTTGCACTAGCTATATCACTTTTGAAAAATTACCCGGTGTAGTTCTTCAATAGAATCTTATTGTGTGTTGAAATAAAATGAAAAGACATGTCATGTAATCAATCTAAAATATAATAAGTTAATAACCAAATCTTTTGCATAATTTTAAAAATGAAATGATATATATGAAAAATGAATGATTCAACACATGATAAATAAAAAGTATCCTTATGTATCTACTAATCTACATTACAATACTAAATACTTAATAGAAATATATGATCGTGACTTTTATTTTTGACTGTGATATACTAATCAATTTATGGAGTAATGACGTTAAGCTAGGGATTAGCGTGGTGTAATCACAATGAACAAGAACAGAAATATATGGTTTTATAACAGTCGGCTGTTCACAAGTCTACATCAATTTTGGTCTTAACGCCGGGAGCCTTTACATGTCAATTGGCATATAGTCTAATCTAGGAAGACTAGGATCTAACACTGCACAAATGCACTTTGCGCCCCTACAATCATTAATCCCACTAATAAATATTCCCATTTTCAATTTTAGGGTTTCTTTAAAAAAAAATAAATCCATTTCATATTATACCAATGCAACAAATTCCAACTCCTTTGTAACAGTTTTATTTTATTTTTAACTACACATGGAAGCAATGAAAAATACAAAGAAAGGTTAAGGCCTATTTGGTAAATGACCGTTAGCTGATTAGGTTAATTAGATAGTATAACTAGTAAATAACATTAGCTGATTGTAGAAAAGTCGTGTTTGGTAAATTAGCTATTAGCTGATAGCTGTTTGGTATAATTTCTTTTATCAAAAAGCTAATTGAAAAAAGTTGTTTTAAGTAGCTTTTTGACTTTTAGTATTTTGGAGTACAAAAAGCTAATTTTTTTTTGTTTGAATGCTACTGGCTCTATTACATTGTAGTATTTGTTCATATACTTTTTCAACCTACTGAAACACAAAAAAAAACCAATAACGCCTCCACTAAGGCTCAAACTCACAATCTTCTAAATAAAAATCCAACCCGGGTACCATTAGACTACATAATCTTGGTGAGTACAAAAAGCTAATTAACCAAACCCTTATATTGATTTTTAAACCAAGTCAAACAACTAATAGTGGTCAAATAAGTCAAAATTGACCTGTGCGCTAACTATTTTACCAAACAGGTCCTAAATAAATTTGGGAGAACCAACAAATTAGTAGAATGTAAGGGTTAAAAAGTCATTTGAGAGTATCAGAATTATACACATAAAATTCAAGAAGTTTAAACAGTTGGTAAGCGAATTACTAATAAATTAAACTATATATAAGGTTGCAATATTGATTATTATTGTATACATTAGTCATGTTAAGAAACTTCGGATTATGTTTTCCTTTGAGTAAGATTTAAACTTTATTAGTGTGATCATGTTGAATTCATATTAGTCTCATAGAGTGTGTACCAAGATTAAAGAAATCCAACACTAATGGTCGTGACAATGCCAATTTCATTGTAAATTGCTATGGTTGTGACAGAATAATGCCAACTCTTTAGATAACCTTTCTCTTAAATTGGATGAATTAAAAATTGACTATTCAATAATTTTTAGTCTTATACTTAGCGTATTGTATGACTATGAGAATACACGAGGGATTCGTGTTTGATATTTACAAGGTGATACCGTACGAGTTTTGGAAATATAATATTGGAACAAGTTTAGGAGCAGCTGGTGTCGTGTTAGGATTCCTAAGATTTGGTTAGGAAGAACTAACTTGATCGAGTATGTAAATCCAACTGTTTTTATGGTTAAAGAGTTGACAAGCTCAAAGGTGGGTGGTACGCAATTGGTACACTAAACTTAATAAATCACCAAAATCCATCAACTAACCATCTTTCTTAATTGTTAAGTATATCATTTAATTGCTTAATAATGTTCAATTTATACAAGTTTGTATATAACAATTAACGATGCTTCTAATTGGACTATACTAAATAATTTATCAAATAATATAGAGTTAATACCCAAAATGGTCCCTCGACTATGCCATAATTACTAATTTGGTCCTTAACTACCATTCTTATCCAATTAAGTCTTCAACTATGTAACTTTTACTCAATTAAGTCCTCAACTATACAATTCTTACCCAATTTAGTCCTCTATATTAATTTGACTGTTTGCTGACTGTCAAAAGTCGGGATAAAATTATAATTTTACAAGATTTCTCCTTCCTCTCCATTTAGCAGCGCCAAACCATGCAGCAATACACTCCGATCAGATTTCGATCATCAAAAAATCGTTGGAAATCAAATTCATGGGCTATCCGATGCATAACCATTACTTCGATACTGACAAGTTTAGAACCCAACCGGAGCTTATTGCTACATGGTTTGGCGCTGCTAAATGAGGAGGAAGGAGAAAACTTATAAAATTACAACTTTATTTCCACTTTTGACAGTCAACAAACATTCAAATTGACAAAGGACTAAATTGGATAAAAATTGTATAGTTGAAGACTTAATTGTGTAAGAATGATAGTCGAGGACCAAATTGGTAATTACGACATAGTTGAGGGACTATTTTGAGTATTAACTCAATATAATAATATACATAAACCACAACTAACGTACGATATTAGTTAAGTTTGAAGTCCCTAACCTGAAATGAGAAAATTAACTGAAATATCTTCATTATTAAAAGATTAATATTTTTATCGGCAAAACAATTATTTTAATAATTACTCCGGCCAATATTCCGTATTATCTTAGTTGGTTAATTAGTTTGTTTGAATAATAGTGTTAATCTACAAAGAAATTTTTAATTTAAAAAGTGGAACTTCTAAAATATTACGGAGTATTATTGTACCTAGCTTATAAAACTGCATTACTATAATATATTTAATTTAAAAAGCTGGGGGGTTAGATTGTACAGTGTAATGATGATGGTATGCAGCATGAGAGAGAGAAAGGTCATTAGAATGGGGCATATGAAATTAGGACTGAAAACACCTTTTGCTGTTTGACAGCCAAACACTCTCAATCTAAAATTGAGAAACATAATCATTTAGCTGTGATTACTACAGGAAAACCTAATAATGATTCACCATGAATGCATGTGATTTTTGGGATATCTATCTTCTAGCCCCTACACCATAGATGTATGTATGTGTTTAGGAAAATATACTGTACATAAATTTAAATAAAGTAAAATTCTCCTTACATATAATGATTTTATTAATAAAAGATATAAATAAAAATAAGAAATATTTATATGGTTCATTATTTTCCTAGATGAATCAGATCAAATATATCACATAAGTAATGAGTAAAAATTAAGAATATATATAGTATTTCTCATGTATTTATTTGTTAAAAGAGATATAAATATGTAATTTTTTTTGTCAAAATTATTACCGATAAAACTTAGTAAATTAGAATAGGCAGTGAACATGCATATTACTATATACCTATTATGCTTGAATTGATTTTTATGTATTTCCTAGTTAAAAAGTTTTATGTCCAACCTTTCATGGTTACTAATAAGGTCATAATTTCGTGAATATTAACATTTTGAAGGAATTTAAAGATAAACGCAAGACAAAAGCTTGTCAAATTTGTTGTATGAATATAGCTTGCCAAAGATGATGAATTTATTACAAAAATGGTAGATTTTTGACATTATTTGATGACATGAGGTACAACTCCCCTATGCAAAAGATGAAAGTAGCCCATGGACCTAGTTACTCATTGATCATCATCAATCTTATCAGGACTGGATATCATCAGCCTACCATACCTAAGAGTATTCTCAAAGCAAACACCGCTCAAAGACTTACGTTTACATCATGAGTTCTACTACATAGACTTCTAAAATTTTATTCCCTCATTTATATTTCCTGAGATGACAAATTATGATTGATTATTTTTATCATGTAAATCCACAAAAAAAATATTTACATCAAAAGCATGTAAATGGGAGTACAAGTATTTTTCTTATATTATATAAGAAAATACTTGGTGTACTTCCATTTTAAACTCTCAACTTGTACTTCCTCTCACATGCTTCTGATGTAGACACTTTTCAATAAATTTACATGATGAAAATAATCAATTCTAATTTACCATCTCAGAGAGTATAAATGAGACAGTAGAATTTTGAGAGTCGGAGTAGAACTCCGTTATATATGACTTTTTTTCCCTGTACATTTTGACTTTCCCACTCCCTATCATATTTGCGGCTTCTCTTTAACTTTCCTTTCTACATATAAACTTCTCTTCTTCCTCTTATTACTCATCACATCATAACTACTACATTACATACATATGCATAAGATTTTTCTTTCTTTCTGCAATATATATATATATATATATATATATATATATATATATATATATACTTTACCTCCATGCAATGTCTCTTTCACAATATCTCATTTAATGTCAGCAACATATTGTGCTGACTTCATAAGATTGGGCATGGCGTAACAAGGATAAGCTTCAATTCGAGTTAGTTGACATTTGTTGAATGCACGCACCACTCGCATGTTATAAAGTAAACTACTGTACTAACGGAATGCTTAGCTAGCTTCAAATTAAATAAATCATGTGTCCAAATGGTTGATCAAGTGAATTGGGTAATTAACGTAAATAATTTTAATAAAAGATCATAAGTTTAATCCTCAATATAATCCTGAAAAAAAAAAAATAGAACAAACACAATTTTATTTTCTATATTAAAACTTTAAAGTAACAAATTACAGAACATGCATGGAAGTAAATATTTAGTGAAAATCAAGTATCTAATTAAGAGTGGACCTGCATGTAAACTATGAATACTAGCTAGCTACGTTCTATATATGGGCAATATAATAGTGCCAATTAACAATGGGGTAATGTATGGATGGGCCTTTCTTACCAAATAATAGCCGCGCCCCAATTCAATCATGAAAACTAGCAAACATTAATAATCTAATCTGATCTGCTATGAGATTCCTAATTAATTAAGAATATACTATACATATATAGATAATGGTTGAATAATCTGCAGATCGACTGGGCTAACTACGATTGGATCTGTGGTCTCTCCGTCTGGTCTTGACGTCGTTAATTTCCTGCAAGCTCTTCAAAACCTCATCCATGGACGGTCTCTTCCCGGGTTCATCCTGAAAACACTTTAATATCAGCTCTGCTATTCTGGTTGCAGCCCTGGAAGGATACTTGCCTTCAAGTCTTGGGTCCACTATCGTCTTTATCTTCCTTTTCTCCCCTAATATGGGCTTAGTCCATTCCACCAAATTTTGCTCATTACTAGCCCGACTCAGATCTAATACTTTTAGCCCTGTTAATATTTCTAACAAAACCACTCCAAAACCATACACATCACTCTTCACGTACAAATGACCTAATAAACAAAGTCAAACAACTTCAACTAATCAATCAACTTTAATTTCGCCCGCTTATTTAATTAATCTTATAATAAATTAAAGCATGCATGAGTTACAAGCTAATTAAGATATATACCAGTAGCCATGTACTCTGGTGCTGCGTAGCCGTAGGTTCCCATAATTCGTGTTGTTACGTGCGAGTTTCCATTGACTGGACCTAATTTCGCCAATCCAAAATCTGAAAGCTTCGCATTAAACTCCTGCCAATTACCAAAAGGTATATGTTTTTCCACATTAATTCAAACGCACCTAGCTCATACCTTTTATATTTACTACATCTCATCATACTACTAGTTACTATTAGGAATATAATTAAATTAATTAAACTAGTCTATTCTACTGACTTTTGTTATTACTATATATTTTACAGCCTTTTGTTATAACTTCTTCTATAAAACTCTTTATATACCTTCCGTGTGATTAATACACATATAATTTTCCTTCTATACTTTATATGGTATTAGAACTATCAAATATTGTTTTTTTTTTTTTAATAAAAAAACTTACATGATGTCTATCACAACTGAAACTTCCGTAGTTCAAATCACTGCTCTTGCAAATTCCCCAATTAAGCTTACATATATGCTTATTTAATTTGTATCCAAGTCATTATCATGTACGTTTTAAATCTATTTAGAAGAACAAGTACAACATGCTTGTTTCATGATCACTTGTTGGTTTTCAAAAAAAAAGAAAGAAAAGTAACATAATTTAATATATGTAGAATGAACACGTACGTTTCATGAAGATTTGACATAAACTGGAGCTTGATAACTAGGTTGGAGGCTTTAAAATCATATAAATAATTAAAAAAGATATTTACCCCATCCAGCAATATGTTGGAGGCTTTAAAATCACGGTAAATAACTTGTTTTTCTGTAGAGTGTAGGAAAGCAAGCCCTCGAGCTGCACCTATAGCTATTTTTAACCGCGTCTCCCAAGAAAGAGCTTCAGCACATTCTGCAAATTATTAAAAATAAAAAAAAAATTTAGTTAATTAATGTAAATAATCTTTATCCTGGTAATTGATTACTACTGTAATAAATTATGGAAATTAAGGTAATGCTTACTTTTGAAAAGGTGGCTTTCCAGGCTACCCTTCTGCATATACTCATACACCAGTAGAAATTCATTATCTTCCCAGCAATAGCCAATTAACTTCACAAGATTAGGGTGGGTAAATTTCCCTAAAAATTTCACTTCAGCCTGCACCAAAGTTTGTATATATCGTTTTTAATTTTCATTTTTTTAATATGATGATAACAGACCATGATTATATATGATAATTATGTATTTTACTCTATATATATTTTACTTTAATTTATAGTTTTATTTCCTAACGTGTTTGATTAACCATATAATGTAATTCACAGTCTATTTTTACCTCTTATATTTGATGGTTTGGTTAGCCTTGTGCTGAGGTGGTTTTACGTGAGACAAATAAATATATACACACACACACACACACACACACACACACACACACATATATATATATATATATATATATATATATATATATATATATATATATATATATATAATTTTTTTAATAAAAAGAAAAAGGTTGTATGAACGAAGCAGTCAAAGGAACACGAATATGACAATAACCAAGCTGTTTTCTTCTTTATTGACTTTTTAAATATGTTCGTTTCATGTCGGGCAGATGTATGGTTTGTTGATCTTATTTTAATTTTTCGCAATTTTTGCTTCTATATTTGACCGATATATGCACGCCACCAAGTTTTGGACTCAACCCCCCCCCCCCCCCCCCCCCCCCCGCCCCAAAAAAAAAAAAAAAAAAAGAAAATGAAATCAATAAGTAAACTTGATCCCTAGCATGAGTTTTTCATGAATCAAGTTTTATCATTTTTATCTAATTAAAATGCAAAAAGCAATTAAAATATTATATTTAAAAGATCTGAGTTTTTAATGAAACTTTAAAATAATAAATTAAATTGCTAAATTTAATATAAAAAACATCTTATAAACAGAATAATGTAAATAATAATTAGTAATTAATAAATGTATGAAAGTCAACCTTATTATATGAATGTGAACAAAATATCTAACTGAAAGACTTTCTACTTGTAAAGAAACATACGTGGAAACTCATAGAAGACCTTTTCAATTAAACAAAGTTGGACTACGTCAGAGTTTTATAACTATCAATATTTCAATATTGTTCGTAGTAGCCTTAAAAAAATTGCTTTCGAAGTTGTTTTCTTTTCCTCTTAATTTGAATAGTTCTTATGTTGCCATTTTCTCCCGACGCAATACATTGTTCATCCAATAACAACAAGAAGTCAAATCAGTCAATATGTAGACATAATACGTGTTATTCAATTTTTAAAATATCGTAATTAGTTAAATTAGATGAAGGAAACCAAAACTACTAGCTACTTCAAGGTGTACATTAGATAAATTGTGCTTTTATATGTATTAATTAGCACGCAACTACAACCCGAGTTTATTTTTAAACAAGTAAACAATATTATATTTTAATGTGAAATATAATTTATATGGTAGGTGGATATTTAAATATACAATTTATAGATGCCCTAGCCTCCTTGGGTCACAACCATATATACATTGTTCACACATCCCCATCAAAGTATCTATGTTTGAAGTGTCACCACACTTTTAGTATATACATTTTAGGTAAAACAATGCTTTTTATCTTTTAGATCCGTTAATAATTCTATTATTAAACGTTATCTAGTTTCAAAAATCTTAATTGATAATAATTAATAATAAAATTTCCCATTTATTTTTTCATCTTCCACACAAATCACACATAAACTCCAAAAAGTGAAATTTCCCCAAACCATCTTTTTTTTTTTTTTTTTTTTTATAAGGAAGGGGATACCCTATATATACACACTATTACCTCAACTGAGGTTCGAACCTTACACCTCCCACTTAGGGGAGCAACTCAATACCAGTGGACTACAAGCCACTTCCCCCAAACCATCTTTAAATTAACAAAAACCTAGCTAATGCGTGTATTAGGTGCTGCGCATGCGTGCGCAGAATTTCAATTGTCCCACCGAATCTAAAATGGAGGATATTGATGGTGTTTGGTAAAATAGTTAATTTTGATTTATTTGATTATTATTAACTGTTTGTTTGGTTAAATAATCAATACGAGTGTTTGATTAATTAGCTTTTTGTAACAATTCTTTGATTCAAAATATTAAAATTCAAAAAGTTACTTAGCTTATTCGATTCCTTTTTTGAGAAAGTCATTGTGTATGTATTCATCTAACAACTAATTTACTAAACACTTTTCTACAATCAGCTAATGTTATCAACTAGTCAAACCCACTAACACAATCAACTAACAACCAAACACCTCCATTATAGATTTATGGTCGAATAGTCTGATATCTAATCTAATACTAGTATATTATAACTATCAAATCTAACAAAATCCTTCATCACCATTATATTACAAGTATATTTAATTTGAGCATTAACTGCACGCTATTTTTTCAAATGAACAAAAATATTTATCACCTGGACAAAAGTAATATACACATGTAAAATTATATTCTTTTCTTTTAAATAAATAGTGAACATTTTGGCTTTCAATAATAATAATAAAAAAATAATAATAATGAACATTATAGCAAAGAATGTTCAATATACTATACATCTAATAAATTAAAATTGATTAGGAGATTACCTATCAATGCTCATAGCTAGTGTACCATGCATAAATAACATAAAAAAGAAAACTGAACTATATATATTAGTTAGTTTACAAAATAATATATTATATCAATTGCAAATTAAGTACACAAATAATATAACAAATAAGCTGGCCGTGTATGATATACGAGCACATATATACGTATTTATTATATATATATATATATATATATATATATATATATATATTAAATATGAGCAACGTATTAATTATATATTCTTTACAAGGTAGTATCTGTTTTATATTTTCTCAAACAATTTCAGTCCAACAAATTTAATAATAATTATATTAGACTCAAAGAGTTCGTTATGCTCATAGTATTTAATTTAATGAAAAACCTTGTGTTGAGCTATATATGTTTTGGATATTTTGCATGAAATTGTGGATGAGATTAAAAGGGGGCCGGGAAAAATTAAAAAACAAATTAAAGGAAAGACATACAAGAAACAAGGCAGGAAATAATGATGTGATGAAATATGTATAAACAAATTAAACGTGCGGGCGTATAGTATAGTAGGAATTGAATTGAAGCTACATACACACCTGCCATTCCCGGAGGCCTTGTTCACTGTCTGGATTAGATTTTTTTACGGCCACCGCCATTCCGACGCCGACCTTGGACGGGGCCAACGTCTTCTCGTCAATCCACCCCTTGAAAACTCGACCGAACCCACCTTCACCCAACACCGTCGCCGGTTTAAAGTTCCTCGTGGCTCTCTCCAGTTCAGAGAAACTGAACATTTTCAAGTTGGGCGTCACTATTCTACCGCTGGCCGGCAAGTCAACGCCGCCTTCTCTGCTCTTGCCGCCAGGTGACATCGCCATATCCACCGCCTCATCCGGTCCCACCTCCATACTTCCCCTTCCATTATCGCCGCCTGCAAGATCGATCTATCTATCAGATAACCATTAAGATCATATATATATATATTTATATCGTCTAAGCTAGTTCCTTTAGACTTTAGTTAATATATATAATAGAATAGAATCATAGACCATATGCAAGTTAATATTGAGTGATCGACTGCTACAAGCTAGTACGTGAAAATTTTTAATATGTATCTATATATATATATATATATATATATATATATATATATATATATATATATATATATACCTTTGGATTTGGGAAGTGCGTTGTTGCTTGGAGCGCTGTTCACAGGTAAGCTCCAGCAGTTTCCCATTTCTGTATAGAATAATCTCTTCCTCGATCGATCTTTGAGATGAGTGGTGTAATATATATTGTGGAATATAATTATGCTGGGAGTTTCACAGAAGGAGAGCACCCAGGAAATGAGAGTGTGAAACACGGAAACTTTACGCTTATTTTAGTCATTGAATTTAGAAATGTACCCATCAACAGTGTCCTTGTCGTGGACCCAGGGATAACAATATTACATTAATTAATTAATACCCATACAATGGCAATAATAAATATTTAATATTGGATGGTGAGTGTTATTATTTTTTGTAATATTATTGACTCCGTTATAATATTGTATTTGTTCATATCTACTTACTCAACTTATTAAAACGTATAGAGTTAATATCATCTTCATTAAGACTCAAATTTATTTTTCTTTATGATCCTCCATTTGAGCTGAGAGTCATATCATTTGATGGAACTAGATCACAAAATTATTGGTGGATGGAGAGTGTTAATTGGTTTATACTTTTATGTAAAAGTCTCATACTCTCATCTCTTTGTGTAATGTAAAGTCATAAGTGATTGAAGCCAGTGGGGTAGGATTTGAGTATTTATGACATCACTCAATATTATAATATATACAAGCAACTTATGTGGTGTTAGAACTCGTAATAAAGAGAAATTTTTTTGTTAGCTTCTTAAAAATTTTCAGCTCAATTTGAATTTTCTTAATTGATGGATTAACGCAATTCAGATTTCCAGAATTAGTTAGTTCATAGAAGTATGAATCAGCCAAGCACATTTTGCTCATATGGTATTTGGGTTGGACTCCTATATGGGAGGTTGTAAGTTTGTGCCTTAGTGGAGGCGTTATTAGCTCGTTTAGGATAAATAATTAGCCTATCAGCTAATTTTGAATCAATATGAGTGTTTGAGAAAGTCATTTTGTATGTAAACAATTTTTAAAGCTAGCAACTTCTTTCCGAATTAATAGACTATTAACTTTTTAAAATATTCGTTATTGTCCACGGTGTTAATCCTGTAGCATTTCATAACGGACTTCTTGTTACAACAAGTCAACAATATCTATTGACATATTCTTTGTTACATGAGTCTAAGGCCAATATAAACCATCTAAATGTACTAACATGTTATAGACCTAATAAGCCCAAAAAAAAATTGCAAATACAAAACTTTAACATGTAAGCTTCTAGTCAAAAAGATAATTTTATATATGATAATACAGCATGTCATTAAATATAGAGTCACACTTGTGTAAGACCGTCTCACGGATCCTTATCCGTAAAATATGTCGGATTGGGTTGAATCAATATGAAAATGTAATACTTATACTAGAAAAATATGATACTCCGTACTAATTAGGAATAAATTAAAATGTCTGTTACTTATAAGAAAAAATGTAACACTTTTAAATTAAAAGGTAAAAATATTAGATTTTTCTTTAAAAGTAGTATACTTTCTCATATAATTAACTAAGTATAAGTAATATATTTTTATCTTGACCTGACTTATCGTAAAGACAAGAATCGATGAGATGACCTCAAACAAATTATTGCGGTAAATATATTATATACGGTATAAAGGGGAATTTGGTTTGAAATCTTTTGTGGATTTATTTTGTTTAGTGATCATTTAGTAGATTTGGACGAATCGTACCAAAATAAATAAAGCTTTGCGGCCGCTGTTTTTGTTTTAAGGTTTCATACGTACTAGTTGTTTCCTGCCAATTTCTAATGTCGACCCTCCAAAATCTCGGGTCCAACATATTGTATTGGGGACTCGTACACCACTTCAGACGGCACATTTGAAACTATTACATCTCGTTTGGTTCGCTGAAAAATATTTAAAAAAAAAATAGACTTGAAATTTTATGGAAAATAAATTTTAAGAAAATAAATTTCATTGTTTGGTTAGTGGAAAAGAAATTACTAGGAATATGAATTCCATTATTTAGTTGAGTTTGAAATGGTAAGAAATAATGAATATATGACAAATATAACCCTACACAATAATAATAATAATAATATAATAATAATAATAAGATAAATTAATAAAGAATAACAAGGGCAAAATTGTCATATTAGTTTTTCATGGAAAACAAAATACATAGAATGAGCTAGGAATTGATTTTCCTAATTCTTCTGGAATTTCCAATGAAAAATGTTTTCCATCAAGCCAAACAACATAAAACATCATTTTCCTTCACGTTTAAGAAAATATTTTCCATGGAAAATGTTTTCCATTCAACCAAACACCCCCTCTTAAGAAATGAGTGGCTCTCATATGAAATCATTTCACAGATTTTTATCCATAAAATGAGTCTACTAAAAATGAAAATACAATACTTATATTAAAAAATATAATACTAAGTATGAATAAAGTGTTGCTTCCACAAAAACATACACTATTTAATTCCTACATTATCTTTGTGATAACCATTCTTGTTGACCCAAATTCATTTTACAAAACCTATATATAGATCTGGGAAATGATTTTTAATTTGTCATTATCTCCTTTAACCTTTACTACAGATTAATTAAACAAACTGGGGAAGGACGATGCTGATGAATATGAACACTTTCAAGATTCTCAATTAATCTCCAAGTCCACTATGTATCTTCTTCAAAAAGATCATAGATATGATGTCGGAAAGGTCTATCTCTCCCACTAAACTTCCTAATCCACTATATATCTTCTTCAAAAAGATCATGGATATGATGATGTCTGGGTGGTCTATCGATCTCTCCTACTTAATCTCCTAGTCCACTATATATCTTCTTCAAAAAGATCATGAATATGATGATTTCTGGGTGGTCTATTGATCTCTCCCACTTAATCTTCTAGTCCACTATATATCTTCTTCAAAATGATCATGGATATGATGTCGGGGTGATCTATTTATATCTCAGTTAAATTCCTTCCTCAATCCTCTTACTCATTTCTCTTTCACAAACATGTGGCGTGAAACACGAGTGGTCAATTGGGATGAAGTAGTAGTTTAAATAAAGGAATGTGCGTATAATATATATATATATGTATATATCTAAATGCATGCATATAGGAAACTTAAATCTAGCTATACCTAGGGCCTCTACATCTCATTTACCAGAGCGATCACTTTTACTACTATACTTTATAATATATGGACCACATTACATACGTGTGTGTAGACATAATATAATGCATGTAACTAAAATTATGTTTAAATAATAATAAAACTTTAACAAATACAATTATTATTATTATTAAATGCCGCAAGCTTGCTAATTAAGCAAAGGACTGCATGCTTTGGTAGAAATTGGTGCCGGAAGTGTCCCCGGCCTGTTTTGTGATGGTATAAAATTAAGTTGATGTCATATATATTCCATTCGATATTAATTACATAGGTAGATTTACAAAGAAAATTTTCACATTGATAAATTACAAAAATTGAAGACATGAATGAATTTTAATGAACGAGAGTATGTATGTACAATGTTTGTGTGAGGTACTTTTTTCATAACAGATGGATGGCCGATCGAATTTAAGAGTTGCACATACAATAATCACAATGTAAAATTAGCTAAGGTTAGAAATGGTGGGCTGGGTGGTTAATTTGTGGGTAACATTGAAGAATCTCAGGTACGTGCATTTATTTAAATTAAAAATATAAATAAATAAATATATATATATATAAATTAAAGCTGTAAAGACGACATGCTTCCAAAGCTGCTGTTTTTTCTAATTGCCTGAAAGCTGAGATTGAGTTGAGATAAGGGCGTGGGCGTGGGCGGCGTCTTGGAGTGGTGGTGGGGTTTAGCCGCCGCCGGCGCGGTGTTGCGTTCAGAGGTCTGGGCTTGAGCCACCAGATAGTCGAGCGCCATGGCGATGTCACTTATGGCCGGACGAAAGCTTGCTTGGTCCTGTAGACACATTGCTGTGATGGCCACCGCGTGGTGCAAAGACCGAACCGAAAATCGTCTTTCCAGCAATGGGTCCGCCATCTCCACAAACCTTCTCTTGTCTTTCAGGAACGGCCGACACTGCATATATGTATATATAGAGAGATCAGATGAGAGACAAACATAACCCCGTAACGTAAGATGGATCGATGTATATATATGTACGTACGTAGGAAACCAAATTTTGCTCTCCGGGTTTGGCGTCACTATCATAGGCGCGACGGCCAGTGATGAGCTCCAACAGAACCACGCCGAAGCTGTAGATGTCGGATTTCAAGGTGAGCTTTCCGCTCATGGCGTATTCTGGTGCACAGTAGCCGTAGGTTCCCATAACTCGCGTGGAAACGTGGGTGTTGTCGCCGACAGGCCCTAATTTGGCAAGACCGAAATCCGATAACCTCGGGTTGAACTCCTCGTCCAATAATATGTTTGAAGATTTCAAGTCCCGGTAAATCACTGGCGGATTCGCCGTACAATGCAGATACTCTAATCCACGAGCCGCACCCGCCGCGATCTTTAGTCTGTTGTACCAATTCAGCGCCTCTTTCCCCGCTTCCAACTCTGATCATATCATATCGATTAAAACTATATAATTTAATTTAATTGAAGTTGGAAGAATATATAATAATACATATTATTATTACCGAAGAGATGATTCTCCAAGCTACCATTTGGCATGTACTCATACACCAAGAGCCTCTGATCGCCGTGGGTGCAATATCCCATCAAGTTGACCAGATTGTTGTGGTGAAGCAAACTCAACATCAGAACCTCCACTATGAATTCCTGGTTCCCTTGCAGCCCTTCCTGATCCAGTTGTTTCACAGCAACAACCTGCAGAACAAGCACCATTTTATTTTTATTTTTTTAATTTTCATCAAAAACAAAAACATATATATATATATATATATATATATATATATATATATATATATATATATATATATATATATATATATATATATATATATACAACACCACATTCAACAAAAACATCAAACTAGCTAGCTATATGCTTCGATCGCTTGCCGATTGGGAGTCAATGACGCCTTTGTACACGCTCCCGAACCCGCCTTCTCCTAATAGATTAGATTCCTTAAAATTTTGGGTGGCTATTGCGAGTTCTTTGAAAGTGTAACTACGTGCCACATTGCCCTTTTGCCCATTACTCTCCCTATGATTCCCTCTCGAAGAACCTCCTTTCCTCCTCTGATGTTCTGCACATATATATATCGAAGATCACATATATCAAACCAGATCAGCTCGCTTAAAATGCATGCATGCACTTTGAATGATAAATCGATCGGATATATAATTATTGACGGAGTACCTGAAGAAGCATCTGATCCATGAAGTAGATCCTCATCACAATCCCTTATGGCTTCCTTACGAGCAGGGCTAATGCAAGGAAAGCAACTCATCATATGTTCAAGCTTTAATTTATTTTCTCTTTTTCTTTCTTTCGCTAAATTATCACAATCAATAATATAATAATTCGACATATCTAATTTTCAGAAAGCACGAACAATTTAATAATACTTTAATTAATATTATATATATATATGTATATATATTATTCACCACCCAATCAGTAATTTATATAGCAATCAAAGCTACATCTGCAATGTAAAAATGTTCAGTTTTCTATTAATTCCTTAAATAAGGATTAAAACATGAAATTAAGGAGAGAGCTGAGATTACTCATCCCGGCCTCCCCTTATAAACATGTAATCCGATGATAATGAAAGCAAAGAAAGAAAGCTTTATAGAAAATTTATAACTTTCCTTCTTGCATTCATAGATCGATTTGCAATAAATCAATGCAAGAGAGAGAGAGAGAAAGAGACAAATGTATATCCCAAAAAAAAGGGAAAGACCACGAGTGAAATTCTGAGAAATTAATATTTACAAAAAATAATAAACCTGAAATTTTAGAAATTGATAAGACCCTTACAAAGAATGAATGAATGAGAAAGAAATAATTGTACGCTAATCCGATCCCCATATTTTCCTCTTCTTTTTAGGATGCCTCATTATTTAGCGCCTGCTTTGACGCTAATTCTCTCTTTGTAATTGTGAACTCAATCTGTCAAGTCCTGAGTTCTTCTAATCCTAGCTAGTAGTGGTAGGATTAGTAATCCTTTTCTTATTCGGAATAAATCGAATTACATTTTCATCATTAACCCGGCAAATCCATTTAGGAAATCAACAACATTGATCTTCAATCTTTCAAGTTAAATTTTTAATCTTCAATTTTGTAAGCATCCAAAACTATTCTTGTACAGAGTATCAAATTTGATTTCCAAGAAACAATTAATACAATTAAGAATTAATTTCACTTTTGGTCCCACGACTTTTGATATTCTATCACTTTTGGTGCACAACTTTAAAATTTTTTAATTTTGGTGCCTAACTTTGTTATTTTTATCAATTTTGGTCCTTTCGGCCAAATTGACTGTGAAATGTTGTTGGATTTTATATTGTTAGGGGTAAAATCTTCATCCCAAGGAAACATCTTCAATATCTAAACAAGATCACCGTAAAATCATATCTATAGGTGTTTGATGATGAGAATAATGGGGAAGATGGGCAGAAACCAGACAGATCTATGGGATTTATAGTTTCGACCATTGGCAAACTCTTCTTTTCCTCTTAATATGATTTTTCTTTTGTTTAAATATTGAAGATCTTTCCATGGGATGACGATTTTGCCCCTAAAATATAAAATCTGGAAATATTTTACCGTCAATTTGGCTAGAAGGACCTAAACTGATAAAAATAACAAAGTTAGGCACCAAAATTGAAAAAAATTCAAAGTTGTGCACCAAAAGTGATAAGAACTCAAAAGTCGTGGGACCAAAAGTGAAATTAATTCTACAATTAATTACAAACTACTATACTTTTATTTTCCTTTAAAAAATGCTAAAACAATAAATGATAAAATCAATATACTAACCGAGTTCTAACTACATTTTTACTTCTTTCTTAAATTGCATGATGTTATTTCATATTAATTCTCAACTCCAAATAATGATCATGCAACTTTAAAAAATTTGTCTCTATAAATACCCAACAAGAATTAGGAATTCATATGTTTTATTTTGAAAATTCTACAATATAATGAAATATTGTGTTACTAATTAATATTAAACAAGGATATTGATTTTTTGCTCAAATTAAACTAATGCTAAGCAAAACACTATTTATGTGGAGAGTAAACCATGTACTACGAGTACGACTGTACAAGAGTCATGCTCAACTAACTCGAACATTCATTTTGGGCAACAACACAATATAGTAATTAATTAAGTTAGTTGGTACATAATTAATGAATAATTTAAGCTTGCAATTATATTGGAGTCCATTTATTTTTTATTTTTTGAGGAATATAATAATAATGCTAGACGCGTTTTTTTTTTTTTTTTTCCTTTTTTGACAAAATTGTTAAAATTATCTATTATAACATTAGACTTTTCTAAGGGTGATTTTTTTGGAAGTCATCATGCATCAATGCATTTTATTGGGAGACAAATGGATTAACCTAGCTAGTTAGAAGTCTTTAGTCGTTAGATTACGGTTTGATTAACTCTTAAAGAACTATTTCCCCCATACTTTTTTAAGGTTTGTGTTAATAACATTTAGATTCTCTGTTCATATATATATATATATATATATATATATATATATATATATATTGTTTCGAATATCCCTCTTTATATATTGTTTTTTTTTAAGACATTACATTTTAGACAACATGTATATATAGCTTGTTAATTAAGTATTCATTTTTGATTGGTCCTCTTCTTAGTCATATTAATAAAATTTTCTCAAAAAATTTCTCAAACATGACAGCCACGTTGGATAGTTACTGTATAGTTGTACTATAAGTCAAAAAGTGTGCAAGGCTAGCTTCCATTAGTTGTTATCACGGTTCCTACAGGCTACAACGACTAATCTATTAATGGAAAAAACATCACCATTATCTTAAATTTAACGGTGTCACATCATAAATGCAGCTACCTTAATTTTTTTTTTTTTTTGAAGCTACTGGCTCCTATTACATTGTAGTATCTGTTCATATACTTTCTCAACCTACTGAAACACAAAGAACAAATAACGCCTCCACTGAGGCTCGAACTCATAATCTTCCAAATGGAAGTCCAACCTGGGTACCATTAGACCACATAGTCCTGGTTACCTTAATTAATTATATAGATTTTACTATTTCTATTTCTAAATTTTACTTCCTCACTTTTACTTTTTAACATACAATAATAGATTATTTTCATCATGTGAGTCCCAATAAAAATATTTACATCAAGAATTTAAAAATGATAATAAAATTTAAGAGTAAAACTTAGGAGTCCACATAATAATTTCCTAATTATATTTCTTCTCCCAAACCTTCATTATATTTGTGCGATCGAGTTGTGCATGCATCTCCGTCTTCAATTCTAAGTCAGTCCAAACTCCAAATACAAAAGCAAACCTCGTCAACGCTATCACATGTACGAAGGATTTTATGGGTATTCAATATTTGACATGCTTTTTATTTATTTATTTTAAATATAACATCTAATATTTCTACCACGGTCAGGTTAAATTAGATTCGATTCAAGTCATTTCATTAATAATCTGTTTATCAATTATATATCACAAACTGCTAAGTTATATATATATATATATATATATATATATATATATATATATGTATGTTTGAAAGGTGCTAAGTTATATTTAATTGCATTTCAATTGCTTATTTTGTGAGTTATTATCTCATCAATGATATCAGTCGATGTTAATCTATTACTTTCATTATTAGTTAGCGAATCACCTCGCCCATATTAACAAAAGTGAATGATTCTCAATCACACTTCATGATTTGAGAGTCTATTCCTCCCGATTATATTTGACACCTTCTTCATTAATACATTCTTTTCTTGGTTTGATTTAAAAAAAAAAAAAAAAAAAAAAAAAAAAAAAAAAAAAAACTCTTAATTATTGGTCATGGACTGAGGAGCATAATACTGGCCGCTAGTGTGAATCACATCCGGCATTGTTATGCTTGTGGGCTGCAGAAAGCCAATTCTTATGGCTTACCTATATAGGCATCAATCGTTATGCTATAGACCCGTGTCCAACATACATTATGGACATGGAACGGTACTGTAAGTGGCACTGTTATCTTTCATTATTATTATTATTATTTTTAATTTTAGACCGCTTAGTTATAGGAGCATATGTTCATAATTTTACCACTATATGTTATAATTGTAAGTTCATAATGTTAGAGCTATGTGTCCATAATTCCATAATTGTACATTCATAATTTCATAACTGTACATTCATAATTTCGTAACTGTACATTTATAATTCAATAACTGTAAATTCATAATTTTCGAAGCTCTATGTTGACAATTTTAGAGCTCTATGTTCATAATTTATCACTATATATTCGATCATAATTGTAAGTTCATAATTCCATAATTGTACATTCATAATTCCATAATTGTACATTCATAATTCTGTAAATGTACATTCATAATTCAATAAATGTACATTCATAATTTTCGAAACTCTATGTTCACAATTTTAGAGCTCTATGTTCATAATTTTATCACTATATGTTCATAATTGTAAGTTCATAATGTCAGAGCTCTGTGTTCATAATTTCATAACTGTACATTCATAATTTCACAAACGAATAACGCCGTTAATGCCTCAACGGCGAGACAAAATCAATTCTTTTTTAAAATTAGAATGCCGTCGTATTCAACTGAAAACAATGTCGTTTTGGACTCGTGGAGAAAAGACACAACTCACCTCGAGGCTCTCGGTGATAACATTATTGACGACCATGAAAGAGGCTCCCAAGTTTCTGGTAGTGGAGCTAGAGGTTGCAGGGGGGAGGATGACGGCGGAAGAGGTTGAGGAAACTGCAGTGAGAGAAGTAAGATCATGGAGGTAATGGTAGAGAAGGACGAAGAGGAAAAGGGGAGCGAAAACGAAAAGAAAGAGTGTACGGATATTTCGGGCCATGCAATAATTCCCGAGAGAAGAAGAGTTTAGTTATTGGTTGTTAGAGAAAGACAGGGAAAACGGAGTCCTCTAAGCCGCCGCAACGTACGTCGGGGTACTGTACTGATGGGTCGCCATGCATATATGATATATCTTCTTTTATTATATACATACATACAATACTATATACTACGTGTAAGAAGGGTTTGCGATTAGGAACGTACGTGTTTAGTGCATAAGGTTTTGACCGAGTTGAGAATGAGATCTATATTAGGAGTGTATTCAATCATGACTTTCATAGAGTTTTAAAGACTTTTATGAATTTTAAAAGTTTGGAGGTATTCAATTCAAACTTTTAGAGAGTCTTTAAAAGCCAAGCGGTATCCAATCAAGATTTTTAAAGAGTCTTTAAAAGTCGGGTGGTATTCGATTAAGACTTTTAAAGAGTTTTTAAAAGTCACGTGGTATTCAAAAAAGTTATGAACTTTAGTAGACTTTTTAATTTTAAGACTTTTGTAAACTTTTCCTTCTCAAATATAAATAGTTGAAATCCAATCATCAACCCCAAGATTTCAAATTTTCTTTCTAACAACTTTGAATGTTTTCTCTCTCTATTTAAACTTTATTTTTTCTCCCTATTTAAACTCTATAAACCTATCTAAATTCAATAAAATTATTTTTTTTCTTCATTATCCTAAAATTATTTTATTGTTCAATATTATTATGAATTTCTAATGAAATAGTTTTTTTTTTTTTATGTTTATTAATAATATATATATAAGTAATTAGCATATAAG